GGGTCTGGTGCGGTTACGGTCTGTCTGTTTCATCGTAGGTCGGTCCCCGCCGCTTCCCCTGCAGCATCTCCTGGACAGCTTCCAGTGCGGCCGAGAAGATGACCACCTCTCTTACGGGGAAACGGGAATGCCGGTCCCTCCTTTCGGCTGCACCTTTTCTGGAGGTAAAGTCACCTTCCAAAAGACCCTTTTTAGGGGCCAGGGTGTGGGTACCGCTGTCAGCTTTTGTTTGTTCGTTAAAATATGTTTCGGGTGTCTGTGGTGAGGCACTGGCACAGGTTGCCCACAGAAGCTGTGGCTGCCCCCTCCCTGGCAGTGTTCAAGGCCAGGTTGGATGGGGCTTTGAGCAGCCTGGTCTGGTGGAAGGTGTCCCTGCCCATGGCAGGGGGGCTGGAACCAGATGATCTTTAAGGCCCGTTCCAACCCAAACCATTCTGTGCTTCTACCATTTGATTTCAGAGTTTCTTGTTCTAAAGTGAGCTGGTAACAGTGTACTTGCACCTAGAGGTGATACAAATTGGACCATGGTGCTCCTAGGTATGCTGGTACAAAGTATTCCCTCAAAGAAGCAACTACAAAGCATTTATTTTAATGTCTCTTTGTTTCAGCTTTGTCTGTTTCAAGTATGTCCTTTTGGTGACAGTGCTAGGCTACGTGGTTGAAAAATTTGTCTTTGTTCAAAATATATAAAAAATATAACAGGACAGAGAAATCAAAGAGGTGGATGGATGTAACTGGGCTGTTACAGGTAGCGTTTCCCTGTGAGAGATACATGATGAGTGAAGTAAGTTCCTGGATCTTTAGGGCAAAACTCTTTCGTTTGTAGTACTCTAATTTTGATGTGAGCTTCTACATTTGTCCAAGGCAGCTTCCTCCTTTTCCAGCTGAGATCCATAGAAAGTACTGGAGGTTGTAGATGATGGGTAGTACAGATACAGAAAACTATAACTAGCGAACTATTGGAGCTGGTGAAAGAGGCCTTTATCTCAAAACTTGCTCCTGGAGCCATTTCATTGCCATTAGTATTTCCTGAATGGAACATCTAGAAAAAAATGCTTGCCAGTATTTCTGCATTCTGAACATTTAAATTGCAATGTAAATACTGTTTATTTCACAGCTATCTATTTGCTTAGAGTGTCTGTGGCCCTTCACAAAGAGCAGGGGCATGATTATGAATCAGCTGCACAATAGACAAATACGTTTCAATTTCTTTTCAGCCCCGAATTTGGAGCATGTACTGGCAGTTGCAAATGAAGAGGGATTTGTTAGACTGTATGATACTGAAGCTCAAACTACCAGCAAACTCATCTTTAAGGGTAAATGTTATAGAGAATGTGATCTTCATTTGATGTGACAAGTACGTGATTTACTGGAATCAAAGAAACCTTTTTGCAAGTCGTTTAAACATAAATGTGGGCAGTACTTGAATCCTTTCATGTACTTTGCTGAGTCTTCTTTACAAAGCAGCAGCATGAGTGTGCTCTTAAAACAGCAGTAGTAGGTGAATTGTTCCGTGTTGTTTTTCATGCCTAAGGCAAGCTGTTGACACGTTTTCTGATTTCAGTGTCTGACGTTCTGTAAGTCTTCTGCAAAATATCGTGCTGCAATGCACTGAACTAATCTTGGCTTTTGTTTTCTTGTCAGAATGGCAGGCTCACTCAAACGCTGTATTTGACCTTGCCTGGGTACCAGGGGAACACAGGATTGTAAGCAGTCTTTTGCCATCTAACTTTATTTTTAATACTTTGTCAACTGTGTGCAGAAAATGACTAAAGCTTTTTATTTTTTCCTCTGAAGGTCACTGCTTCAGGAGATCAGACAGCCAAGGTGTGGGACGTGAGAGCCGGCGAGCTTCTTGGCATATGCAAAGGTCACCAGTGTAGCCTCAAGTCAGTTGCTTTTTCTAGATTTGAGAAAGGTAAATGTTGATATTCCCTGTTGTCTGTTTTTTCCTTCTTCTTCCCCCCGGCACATTGGTACTTTGGGGGCTGAAAAAAGGCTTTGGAAACTGTCAGTTACAAACAGCACAGGCTGACTGAGCAGTGACCCAGCCAGTGAAGCAAAACTAACTTGGAACTTCATGGTGACCTGATGCTAACATCTGAATGTATCTGATCTTGGGCAAGTTTAAGATATGATAACTACTCCCATACTTAAATGTGTAAATACTCTTTTCATAAGCAGGTTTCTCTAGAGTAGTAGTAAAAAAAGAATAGGAAGAGTAAGGGAACCAGTCAAAAAGCATGGCAGAACAATGGCCTGATTTTTGTATTTCTAGGACTGGCATCCCAAGTGTTGGGGCAGAAGAGCCAGGGGCACATAGATCGCATTGTACTGCAGCCAATTAATTAAATTAACACTTTTGGAAGCTAATAGCACTCTTTTTCTCTCTCAGCTGTCTTCTGTACTGGAGGCAGAGATGGAAACATCATGGTTTGGGATACCAGATGCAACAAGAAAGGTAATTGAACTTTCAGATATGTATTGAAAAAGCTCGGTGTCTCGTGTAAAAATAGTGTTCGGATGTACTTGTTGGACTAATGCTTTCGATTACAATATAAGCAACACTTCAGTAAGAAGAGGAAGATTGTCAGGTAACAGTGTACTGCTTTAGTACAGTAAAAGGATGGAATAGGTATTTCTTCTATGTATAATATATTTTACCACTTTGTAACCATCTCAGATTTGCAGCATGATATACGTGCTGGCCTGACAATACCGTATGTATCGGTAAGGAGACGAGGGGGTACAGAATACATCTCTATGTGGGACAGCACAGACATAGATGGGCTGGGCAAGAGTGCTTAGGTCAGAGCCATCTGGAGGGATGAAGCAAAGCTGGGAAGGCTCCTGCTAGAGTAGGAAGGCAGGCAGAAACTGCAGGAGCAAAGGAGCTTCTGAGTGCTGGGAGCAACCGAACACATTGTGGGAACAGCTACTAAATGCAGGGTGAGCTCATTCTGCTCCTCTCTTTCTGTTTCCTGGAGCTTTTCCTTCCCCAGTCAGGTCATTCCTTACACCTCTTCTCAGCTCCCTGCTCTGTCCCAGCAGTTTCCTGGCCAGTGCTGGCAGAACATGTCTCACTCTTCCATCTGTTCCAGGTTCTGTGGCCCTTCAAACTGGCAAGTGGGGGAAAAGGAAGGCTCCACATGATTGAAGTGGAAGGTATAGGGGAAAAAAGTAGAAAAGTCACTTTAGTAAAGCAGTGAGCTTCATCAAGTGAGAAGTAGCAGACAAGAGGCTAAATAGAAAATTATAAAATAGAGTGAAAAAGCACTGGAAACCTTTCTGTGAGTGCAGTTCTGCTTAGGATGAGATGGGTTGAATCCTCCAGACCAGGATGTATGCTGAAGACCAAACCAAGGAGAAATGATTTCCAAAGGCAGTCTGCCTAGACCAGTTGTAGTTTCAATGTCCATGCTGCATTGACCTCTGTCATTTTTTGGAATATATGCTCTTGTTTTCTACTGTGTTCTTCTCGTCAGTTTCACATGTAACTAACAATTTTTGTTTTCAGAACACATTAATGATTTTAAAGGTTAGTCTCAGCCACTTTTTAGGACTTATTCGAAGATAATGCCTATTTTATTAAAGGGATAGCAAAATTGCATAGAAACTATTAATTGAGATGTCTTTGATTTCTTTCAGATGGATTTTATAGGCAGGTGAATCAAATCAGTGGAGCACACAATGTGGTTGACAAGCAGACTCCTTCCAAACTGAAGAAGAAGAGGCAGAACCTAAGAGGGCTTGCTCCCTTGGTGGTAGGTATCTGGGGGACAAATGAAGTGTAGGCCTCTCTTCTGTGGACAATGTTATTCATAGAAATCTTCCTAAGTAATTATTGTGAGAAATATTTGGCTTGAATGCGGTAAGTGCTTCTATTTATCTTTCTAGAGGTAGTTTTTTGTGTCATGGTCACTTGCTATGGCTAATTTTAGACATTGTCTAACAACACACCTGCCATCAAAGCCATCTTTGTGCAAATGCCATGTGAAAACACATCTTTTTTTTTCCAGAGAGGAAAGGAGTGGCCAGCATTCCCTTTTTGAGTGGGGAGATAGGGAGGGTTGCAATTTTCCTTCTTTTTTTTCTTTTTTTTCCCCTAATTTGACCATGCAAATTACTGCCTTACTGGAGTAAGACCTAGTCTTATTTAATCTATTAAACCTCGTGATGAAGGCAGCTCTCTTATCTCTGACCTGAAAGGTATAATCTCAAACTGCTGCCCACTTACCGCTCATTGGCAATTTCACTGGTGGGAGTGTTCAAAGGATTGTTGCATTCTAAATGGCATCTGGTATTTCCAGGTTCTCCTGCCTGGCTAGAAGGAGGTTTTGTTGGTATTCACTTGGCCTTGAACTAAGCAGCAAGTTCTTGCTGACCTTGAAAGAAAATAAAGTTTGTTGTTTTGGGTTTTTTTTTTCTTTTTAAGGATTTCCAGCAGAGTGTAACTGTGGTGCTGCTTCAGGATGAGCATACTCTTATCTCTGCAGGAGCTGTTGATGGGTAAGGAGGGAGGATGCCTTTCTGTCTGTTCTGTGTGTTCTTAATGGCAGAAAAAGATTGAGATATTTACTTTTCTAAGATCACTCAGTGGCCCACAAGGCTGGACTTACTGTCAGGTAGAATCAGCAGAGCTATGGTGCCAGTTTGCATTGGCAAACATGAATGCCGCTTTTCTTCCTTACTGGAGTTTGTAGCGCTGGGACAAATTGTTCATATGTGATAAATGCTCATTTTAGTGTCTTAGCTATGGGGCAGAACGACAGCAGTTCTTACCATCTCTCTCTATTCTCGTGGACCTATGGGACCATACATAAACAGACTATTGTTAGACAGGGAGCTGTTTAGGGATGCGAGTGGGTGGTTGGTGCCTGGATATGTGTAGGCGTGCTTGAGAAAATGTTGCCTTGAGTTACAAAAGATGCATTCTTTTAGGTGCCAGGTCCATTGCAGCATCTTGGAGCTCAAGCAAACTGTCTCATTGATTAGAATGGAGATTACCCTCTCGGGACTCAATTCTTTAGCGGGCTCCATGTGGTCAGAGCCTTTCTGAGGCAGATAAGATTGACGGCTCTGCCTATGGCTCGTGAGAGAGGCTTGCTCCTGGAGAGCAAGAAAAAACTTGAAGGACTTATTTTTTAAAACTACAAGTCAGGAGTGTGAAGGCATCCTTGTATTTCCTTTTACTAGTTGAAGAAAGTTGACTTGCAGGCTCTTGTTGTATCTTGTGTTGGTTACAGAAAGCAGTGCTGCTTCCTCATCCATACCCAGCAGAGCAATTGCTTTGCTCTGCTCTACTTCTGCTCAGTTGTGCTCCTTAACATTGGCTACTCCTCAGTAGTGACCAACCTGTCTTCCTGTGCTCTTAGAAGGCCCTGTCAGCATTGCAAAAAAAATTTTGAAGTTGAAAAGGCGCTTGTGTTTTTCTATTTCAGCGTGATCAAAGTATGGGACTTGCGCAAGAACTATGCTGCTTATCGTCAGGACCCAGTGCCTTTCAAGTCTTTTTGCTACCCTGGGACCAGTACCCGCAAACTTGGTAAGTTATTGGAGGATGCATTTGTTAAAGTGCAAGGTGACTTCAAGAAGTACTGACAGTGCCATCTCTTATCTTTTTAGCCAATTATTGATCAGGCTGACAAGCGCAGCAGGGTATTTTGATTGCCAGCACCAAATTTTCAAGCTGAAGAGTGAAACTGCCCCACTTTTGTATCATCACACCAATGATATAAACTTGCACAAGCTTCAGCAGTGCATTTTCAGAAATGGAGATGAGGGGACAGTAGAGCTCTTGAGGTAGAATTTAGCTACTCGTTTTGATGCATGAGTAGAAATCAGATTTAACTGTTTCTTTGCATTTTATCTTGCAAAGACAACAGACCAGACTGAGTTTTTACATTATAACTTTCCAGAGTCGAGCAATAATTGAAGCTGTTTGTTATCAAAAACAGTAGCGCTCTTGTTTGTGTTGCTCTGTGCTTCTTTGTATCTTAATGCCTTACAATGCTCTGATGCAACACAGTAATTCCTGGTGACTTGTCTAATCAACAGTCTTGATGTGGTAATGGTCAGTGTCAGTCCAAAGAACAGGAGGGAAATCCTTGAGGAGTGGGTTGTGAAATAATTTCCTTGCAGGGAAAGATTTTTCTTGAACCTCAATCACTAGCAAATCAGAGCATGGCTTATTCTAGCAAAGCATGAGGGTTTCTATTTATTTTTAATCTCTGCTTCTACAATTGGTTGTTCCTGTTACCCATTTGAAACTATCAAACGCATTGCTTGTCTGCCCTGAAGGTGAGATTCTTCTCTAAATATCACCCTGAATCCTCATGAGAAGATGCATAAGCAGATGTTCTTCTAGATACTTTGCTTCTCCAACAAGTGCTCTGTCAAACAAATAAATTTTCCAATGTACGTGGTAGAGATCCTTTCCAAATTTCCCTCTCTAGGCATTTATTTGAGAAAGCCTGTTTTCTAAAATGCTTTTGTGGAGTTATTTCTTATGAAGAATTTCTCTCTTTGTCTATAGGATATTCTAGCCTGGTTTTGGATTCCACCGGTGCTAATCTGTTTGCTAACTGCACTGATGACAGTATCTACATGTTCAATATGACAAATTTAAGGACCACTCCAGGTAAGCATGATATCTGTGGAAACAGCTGCAAAAAATAGATGTTACAGAGCATAGAAGGGTGAGTTTCTCCCTATGACTTAGAGAGACAGAGGCCAGCTTGAATGCTTAGGAAACTTATTCCATGCTCTTATGACTAAAGCTACCTGGGAGAGAAGGCACCTGTTAGAAGGGCTGTTCATATTTTGTGTTAAGCCATCCACATAAAATTAATTGCATAAAAACTTACAGAAGTGCAGATACTGGTTCACCCAGATAGAGACTAACAGCAGCTTGCATGTTGACTAGTTACCTAGTGAGGAATGGCTAGTGTCCAGCTGCTACCCACCTGAAGCAAGTTTGAATCTTCTGCTTACTGCCAGTCACCGATTTTTCAAACTCTTAGATATGAATCTATGTAAAGCGATCACCTGATGTGTTGTATTCAGATATTTTAAGGTGTCTTTTAAATTTAGCTTCTACCGCAGTTTCTGGGAGGAAGCATCCCCAGCATATTGTGGAGTTGCTTCAGATTTTTAGATTCCTTCAGCTCTGCATCTGTGACCTTTATGTTGACAAGATGGCCCACGGCCTTTGGTGCTAAGCTGCTTTGTCATAGGCCAGTGGCTGCTTCTCAGAGAGCAGCAGAACTTTTTAGATGCATTCCAGCCAGACACATGATTTAGTTTCCATTGCCTTTTCTCAGTCTCTCAGTTAATTGAAATTAAATGAACAATGTGTCCTTCTGTCTGCTCTTCAGGAAGGCAGTCTGGTGGGTGGGAACGCTTCCAAAGTTGAGGAGTGGTGCAAGCAGTAAATGTTAATAGGTCAGTTGTTGAGGTTAACCCCGGGTGCTACCACTGACTGTGGAAACACGCTCACTGGCCTGTCCCCTGGCAGGAGTGGGCTCTCGCCAAAGCACAGGGCATCCCGCCCCCGGCCTCCTCATGGAGCTCTTGCCTTCTGCGTGCAGCCGATAAAACTTGGCGAGTAATCTTCATTCGTCCAGCCGGATGAAACATGTGCAGCTTCTTGGTGTGCTGCTGTTCCCGCAGAGGGCAGCGCCTGCCCACGGCTCAGTGCCTCTCTCCTCACTCACCAGCTTTCATCCCAGTCGTGGCTGCTCTCATCTAGTATCGAGGCAGCTTTAGTTTGCAGGGGCGCTTGAGGAAATCTTCACTGTAACAGGACTTGCTGGTAGGTCTGGCTTAGGAAGGGTCTTGCTGTCTGGTAACAGCTGTGCTGAGAGCTGTGGGTAAAAATTAAGGGATATTTTGGGGTCTTGCAACTTTTCAAAGACTGCCAAAGACAGCCATGTGTCCTCTGGTCTGTGAGCCGCTTGCTTTACCAAAACCACTATTAAAACAGGGCTGGTAGAGGGGGTGCCAGCCCCACCTGGTGCTACTTTGGAAAACTCGCCCTTTCTGCCCTGATGAGAGGACGGGATGCGGTGCGGCCGAGTGCTCTAGATTCACACCTGGCTCTTGTGCCGGCTGCCAGCTCTTCACAACCTCATGATAGGGGAATGGCAGCCATTTGGGGTGGTGGTTTCAAGGCTTTAGCAAACACTACCAAGGCTTTGAATACAGGCAGCCGGTGAGTGTGACTGATGCGTTTTTGTTGATGAAATAAAGATGCTAGCAGCAGGAGGAAAGAGCAGCAAGCGCCTTTGTGGTCACCTGGGTGGAGTAAGGCCCTTGCTATGTTTTCTGCATGACTGCCCTTAATGTAGCGGGACTGATGATGCCAGCTGAGGGACGAAGAGACCAGAAATCATAACCAGAGGAGTGGGGCAGCCCAGGTGATGTCTCGGCATGCTTATGATATGGGTCAAGCTAAAGCTTTAATGAAACTGCCACTGTTTCCTAATGCTGTGGAGAGAGCTGTTGCTTCATTTGGGAATCCTGAAGGGCTCCAGTTGAATATAAAAACTTCCTGCAGCTGGAGCCAGAGCCCCAGAGCGAGGGAGCAGTGCAACCACTTTCTCCAGAGGATTTGTGGCTGGGCAGGAAAAGCCTGTAAGATCAGCCATCCTTGTGCAACTGACTCCGCTGCCATGCATTGAGTGGGGCTTTTATCTTTTTTTTTTCCTTTTCTCTTCACAGTGGCTGTTTTCAGTGGGCACCAGAATTCAACCTTTTACATCAAATCCAGCACCAGCCCAGATGACCAGTTCCTGGTCAGTGGCTCGAGTGACTGCAACGCATACATCTGGAAGGTGAGGCAGTTGGGAGAGCCCAAAGCACGCAGCCTGGAGCTGCTCCGCTCTTTCCTTTCACTTACTTTTCATGTTCACGTATGACACTCCCTGCCTCCCACTCCTACTTAAAGCAGCGTGGGGTTAGCTCCTGGCATGTTGTGCCCAGAGTGCGTCTTTTGCTGCCAAGGCTAGATGTGACAGTTTAATGTAAACCAGAGCTAACCTCCTGCCATCAATACATCTCTCATCACTGCTGCTTATTGCAAGTTGCCGATCTTAATCTGGTTTTGACGGGCATGAAAATCCTCTTTCAATCCTGTTGATTCAGCCAGCTATGACAAGTAGACTGACAGTTCTCTGTTCATATTTAGCAATGGAGCACATTAGCAGAAACCTAGCAATTTAATTGTTTTAAAGGGCACTCTGTCCCCCTATGTCCCCTTTTTTCTATCTCTTGCTTCAGACATAGCTTTTTCTCATGCCTAATTTACAGTAGTTAAAACCTTTGTATTACAGCAAGGACTCAGCCAGAACCTTCAGCAAAATTCCAAAGAACTATCTGATAGCTGAGAGGCTTCTTCACTTGGCATCTTGCACTGATGTGTACAAAATACAAATGTCACTGAGTTAATAGCAGGGACCTCAGAATAAGGCATGCTTCAAGTTTTGTTCTCCATACTTGACAGCCATATGGGAACAGAGTAGACTTCTTATTGAAGCAGAATAGACAGAAACCACAGGTGACTGCCTGTGTCAGGTTTGGGGTAATTCTTAGGGAATGCTGACTTGTTTACCCCTTTCATGATGAGTTTGAAAGTGAAATACAAACCTTTCAGAGCAGAGGGTCGGCCTGCTGAGGTTGTGGTTTGAGCATGTAGTCTCTTTGATTTGGAGAACCCTTGGAAGCAGCTAGGTTGCTTACTCAGTAGTAGCAGGAGTGCGGTAGCATGGCTGCTGCCATGCCAAGTGGTGTAATTTTAACCCACTTCACGTTTTGTGTCAGTTCAGCAAAAATACGTGTGCGAACTTGAGTTGCACATCCTGCATTCATGTGTTTTGATACTTTCCTGGAACACAGGCTGGTACTGGGTTGAGAGCATTCAAGGATGTCATGACATCTCAAAGTTTAAGCATTTAAACACATTTAAAATGCATTTGTGGATAGAAGGCTTCTGTTGCTATCACGTGTGAGTGACAGATCATATTGCATATTTATTAAATAGATCATCAGATTATTTTATTTTAATCCCATAGTCATGTTAGAAAGTGGGACTTCCAGTGAAACTGTCACATCCAGAGACTTCTTAATTTATTTTAAATGTTGGCAGATTTTACTGACTCTGAAACATATATATCCTTTCCTGGCATGAAGATTTACTACGCTGTGAAAAAAACATGGTTAGATATTGCATAACCAAGTAACAGGTAATGTTGGAAAGAACTTAATGAAGAGCACTAGCTTTCCGTATCTAGAGAGGAATGAAAGGCAGAGCCAGACCTTGTCCACCCAGATTATTTCTTTGAGAAACTTTTGCAGCAGTGCTCAGTTGTGTTTGGGTCAGCAATTCCCAAGAAATACTGTGGCTAGAAGTTATTGCTGACGAGGACTCTGTTTCAGTCTGTTGCCATATATAAATCACTTCCAGGCAATGAACACTTGCTTTATTGTGTTGGATTTCGGGTTTTTTTTAATTACTAGTCCCTTGATTAATGACCTGACTCTTGAACAACCCTAAGATTATAAAACCCAGAGAGCAGAGATGTTTCCCTCAACAAAGATGGTACCTAGCTGAGGTACCTTCCTGGTAATAAAAAAATACCCTTTGTAGACATATATGTCCATTGTCCTTTGAATCCTTTTGTACAGACCACTCCAAGGTGACCATATTAAGTTACTGTCTTGGTTTGAAAGACAGATGTCTGC